GCCAGGGAGAGAGATTATTTAAGTGTGTTCTTGAGGACTCCAGGATAAGAAGATTAGATCCCTCCATCATAAAGAATAATTCGAAGCACTTAAATCCTCTCAATCTTCATAAGGTCTGTGGCATTCAAATATTTTAAAGTAGGTATCCAATAGCTTGTTGTTGTTTTATGTTGTTCTTCTTAGGAAAAAAAAAATTGCAACATTAAATCCTTTTTATTATGATCATCTCAAAACTAATTGAGAACTGAGGCAGGATTTTTACTTCTATATCCTAACCCTCTGGCTGCAGCTTCCAAGTTGTTTTCTTCTTTGCTGAGGGAATAGATATACACTTTACTCCTTTTCTCAGGACTGCAACCCCTGCCCAATGGCAGCTGGTAACACTTTGCTTTTTAATCTCCAACTCAAGTACGGATGTGAACCTGACAAACTGAAGGAGTGTTCACATCCTGATTCAGCTCTATCATGCTTGTTTTGTGTGTTTGTTTTTTTTCTTTTTTTGAGAATGAACAATTGAAATTTTTTTTTCAGAACCTACAGTGCTTATAATAAAATAATGCATTATCTAGTATCTGGTTATCTGCAAAGTTTTATAGTATTTTCTCTTCAGTTTAGCACACATGCTAAATCTGACAGTGAACTGGAAAAAGCTAGACCAAGGAGAATCAGACTATTTTTTTGATATCCATAGCTCCAGCCAAGACTGCTACTGTAATATATAAACCCAATATTCTAGCTGAGTTCCTTTCAAAATAAATGTGAAGCTGAGCAACATGTCTCTGCTGTTCTTTCCACAAGTACTTGTACAAGTATTGCACTTGATTAATATGCTCTGGGATAACAGTTCAGTTAATTTAACCACATCTACTGCAGCAACAAATGGAAAGCAGAAACTCATCCTCATGGAAATTTCCCTGTGAAGTTTGTTTGCAAAGTATCCTTTATTAGAAGGATTGTAGGAGAGTGCTTAATATATGGTATGCAGGAAAGACAATGACCTCCATGCTGCTTTATTTATTTAATTACTCTTACAAAATAGAAAAGTTTAGCAGCCTACTTAAGATTCTTAAAGCTATGGAGGCATGTATTACTGAATATAAAATATATTTTCAGTTGAAGCAACGTAGCTGTCAGTTCCTGGAAAACATTATATTATTCTTTGAGTGTTGCTATCCTTACAATTTTCTTATTTAGTAACTTCATCTCTCCATTCTTGAAATACCAGCATTGACTGAATTCTGATCACAATACAAGCAGCTATTTTCCTTCCTGTTAAAGAGTAACAAGGCTTTAGTATAACTTAACTACAAAACAAATCAGTTCTTCAGTAAAAGAGTGATCCAATGGAAGTCTCATGTTCCTTTATCAATTGTTTTGCTTAATTTACATTTTTTTGATAATTTACATTTTTTCTTCACCTTTATGAGAGATGAATCCTCACAGAGGCCAATGCTTACCCAGACTCATTGCCTGAGCGATTGGAAGTGAATATTCTGTTTGTAAATTAGAGCAGAATCTATCAAATTAGAGGATACCTTTTACTTAGGTAAAACTTGCAATTCAAGGCTATGATATTACAGGGGGAAAAAAGCCCAAAGCTTTATTAGTTTCACCTCCACCCACACAGAAAAGGACATTGATGCTCGTATGTCATAAAACTAGAGAATAGCTTGGATTGGAAGGGACCCTAATTCCAATCCCTTTCTTTTGAGATGGCTGCTTCCCCCTCACTTCTCCCCCCAGCAGGGGCTGCCCACAGCCACATCCAACCTGGCCTTGATCCCCTTCAAGGGGATTCACAGCTTCTGTGGACAGCCTGTTCCAGCACCTCACTACTCTGAGTGAAAAATTTTCTAACATCAAATCTAAACCTCCCCTCTTCAGTTTTAAATCATTCCTCCTTGTTTTATTGCTACTTGTATGTGTAAAAAGTTGGTCTGCCTCTTGCCTATAAGCTCTTTTTAAGCTCTGGAAGGCTACATTGAGGTCTCCCTGGAGATCTCCCATAGAAGAGGTGTTTCAGCCCTCTGGTCATCTTCATGGACCTCTTCTGGATCTGCTACAACAGCTCTACATCTTTCTTGTGTTAGGGACAGTATTACCTAGATGTACATAAATTTGTGCATGCACTGGAAAGAATACACAGCTGAGCTATGAAATGCAGTGACCTGTTTCACTAAAACATAATTAAAACAACAAACGAATTCCAAGGTAGGTTTTGAAGAAGGCTAACATCTTTAAAAGATTACAGTAAGATAGATCAACCAATTTTCTGGTTTGTGATCTACAAGTTAAACCTGAATAACAGTGTATCAGTACTACCAGGTCAGCTGAAATGGTATGAAATGTTCAAGACTTGTCCATTTTATTACTTGTGTATTTATTTTTATTGCATGAGAGCATCTGACAAATGAGTCCAAGAAGTCCAAAAACTGGTACAACTGATGCTAGAGTACTGCTGCATACCGTGATGTTCACATTAAATAAATCCAGTTTACACGTTCCAAGGAGATAAGCTGTTTGCCCTACCATCAGAGGAACAAGTATTTAATGATATGCCAACATTTAGAGAAGTTCCACTGCCACTTGCTTATGTAAAATGAGCAGTGTATCTCATAAAAATTAAATGATTTTCTTTTACTCTTTTGGAAACTAGCAGCAAGCTCCCGCTAACAAATGTGGAGCCTAGTCCAGAAAGTGGTACTTCTGTCCTATCTCCAACATTATTGAAGCTGAGTGGGGATTAGAAGAAAAAGTTCAGCTTTCTCCAACTTCATACGCTCCTGTGAGACAACAAATTACCGAGCTGCAACCGTAAGTTAAGATGATGACTAAAAGTCATTGTTTATATTGATTTCTAAAACACTTGAGGCAACCAACGTAAAAACATCTTCCTCCAAGAGCTTTGATCTGAAAAGATGAACATTAAATGATCACAGAATTAAGAAGCAGGTAAAGAGAAACACGCAAGAGGTCTTTCCAAGAATTGAGTCCTGTGAGTCATGGTTCATCTACTTTTGGCTTCTTGGTTGTGAGGCCATGTACAGTGCTACTAGACAGTAGATTGTCCCGCCTATTGTGAGAGCCATAGTGGTCCGATAAAGCAGCTTATCCGGAACTCCTCGTTTCAGGTGTACAGGCAGCCCATCTGCTTTCTGTGGGAAGAGTTTAGAAATAAATAGAATAAAATAAACACATATAGAAGACACAATGAACAAGATACCTCAGGTGAACTAAGAGACTTTCATAAGGAAAACCTCCCCTCTGATAGGCTATGTACAGATATACTAAGTGCTTTTCATTTAGCAAGACGAATGCAAAGCAAGTTAATTGTATTAGTTAAAGGCATTAAATGCAGGCAGAAAAAATATATTGTGAAATATTTCTAAAGAGGACCTGGGTGAGAAAAATGACGCTAACAAAAGAATGTGAAAAGTTATGTAGAAAAGGTTATTCACCGAGTCAGACTGATATATTCCAAGTGCAAGTGGCATGAAAGAGAAAAGGGTACATTATAAAATACATTCTTGATGTTTTTATTAACAACAAGAGAAAAAAAATATTTTATGAGAAGACTCAGTATGCTTAGAAATTGAACAGCTAAAACAAACTGGCTCTTACTGTGCTCTTTAACACTGCATTAACAACAGAACCTGTAATATTCAAATTATTACACACAAAACGATTTGCTTTGCTCCTCCTATTCTACTTGCAGTCATATGCTTGGATTCCAGATGTAAGGTGCTTCCACTAGTCAAATAATACAATAAACGTTTTTTTGAAGCAAATGAAAAGATAAACTTACTAGACTTTCTGTACTTATGTCCATGCAAGGCTGAGGAAGAAATACAAGTTATACTATACTTCCTTAACTAGAAAAATGTATGCATTGTAGAATGATGGAAGTGGTCAGCCACGTTAAAATAGAGCAAGATATGGATGACTCTTTCATTTTCTGTAATTTACTCCCAAAGTTGTCATTACCTGAAAAAGTTTCTGTAGGTCTGGCACCTGGTTTTTACCCAAGAAAGAATCAGTTGCTGGTAAATCTGAAGCAAGTTTAGTTGTTGTCCCAAAAACCAGAGCTGGGGATTCAGTGGAAACTATTGGTTTGAGTCCCTGCATAAATAAAGATTAAAATATAAAGGTATATAATACTTGCAAATGTACCAGTTGTCATGCTAGACAGGCACACTGCCAGTCATTACAAGGATACATTATAAAAATATATATTTGGTATTAAGACCCATGGTTTAAACAAAACAACAAAAAAAAGTGAAAACTAACGAAAGACATTCTTAGCTACAACTTTGGACTTAGCAAGGATGATAGAAATTTTTTTTTTTTTTTTTTTGTAGTGACAAATCTATAGCTATCATAAGCTTTTCTGGGCTGGTACTTGTCCTAAGTCATTCTGTTTTTACACAGAGTACCCAGGTCAGCAGTAGGTTTGGGAGAGGAAATCCCCAACGCTTGTGTCAGACAGAGCAAGGAGACTTCTAACTCTTCCTCCCAAATATTCCAAGCAGTTGCTATATAGTTGAGCCTTAAATAATCAGAATGCATAGGTTGGAGGAAGAGAGGAAGCAAGGAAAAAGAAAATAGAAAAAAAAAAAAAAAAAAAAAATGTGAGGGAGACGCAGGCTAGGTGTTCAAGGACACAAGAAGCCCTGAATTGGTGGCTGTTTTACACAAATCTAACATCCCCTAATTTGCATACTGCTGCAGCTTTTCATCCCTCACGTATCTCTTATAAGTCAGCACAATTTAATTGCCTTTCAGTTCAGATGGCTGTACTCTGAGATAAAACCTATGTAATCCAGTTCGATGGATTAAATTTTAAGTGTACAGAGTCACTGTAGTCATGAAGTGGCCTCCTTACCTTTATTGTTATATTTAGCCATTATAGTTCAGCACATGACAGTGATGTTTTACATTATAGCTCCTGAAATAACCGTTTGTTTTTTTCTAACTTGCCATAAAAAAAGACATAACACTATTGTGTTAACCTGCTTGTGTTACATTTCAAATAGGAGTAATTGATCTTCATAGTGATCTATGTTAGTAAGCAGCTAAGGCTGCACCTGGAATTCTAGTTTCTGCTCAAAGGACTACACGATACATTTAATGTTTAAGAAACTGAACAATGTTTTGAGCTGAGAAACCTGGGATTGTTTATCCTGGAGAAGACTGAGAGGGGATCTTATCAATGCTTATAAATATCTAACAGGTAGGTGTCAAGTAGATGGGGCCAGGATCTTTTCAGTGGTGCCCACCAAGATAACAAGAGGCAACAGGCAAAAACTGGAACCCAGGAAGTTCCATCCGAATATGAAGAAAAATTTCTTTGAAGGTGATAGAGCATTGAAACAAGCTGCCCAGAGAGGATGTGGAGTCCCATTCTCTGAAGATATTCAAAACCTACCTGCATGCTTTCCTGTACAACCTACTGTACAAAACCTATTTTATCAGAGGGTTTGGATTAGATGATCTCCAGTGGTCCCTTCCTACTTCTATGATTCTGTAGTTTGTGAAGTCAGATTTGTATTATTTTATGCCTACATACCTGTAGACCAGGCATGTTATTTTCTGTACAGCTGTCTGCCTTGCTAGCATGAATCCCAAGGCAGATTTACATTTTCCTGACAGCACAAAAGAGTTAAAGATTAGGAGCACAGTTACTAGAAATAGCACCACACTTAAGTTTATAAATTTTAGGGAAATTGGCAAATCTGAATCACAGAATGAGAAAATAGAGAAACAGCAAGTTTCTCAACCAAGTCCAAGCAACTCACCCTAGTTAAAAGATCTGTGGTTAGTGGATTTTTTAATTATTATTATTATTTTTTTTTAGTAGGTACAAGCAAAGTAAGGTGTATCAGCTGAAGATAGAGCAGCATGACAAAATTTCTACGCAGGCTATGGCCAGACTTGAAGAACTAGGGAAAAGCTATCCGGTAAGATTAGATGAGCATTTACGAATGGTTCCATTACTACTTTTTTGAATACAAGCCCATTGTCTGAGTGAACAGTTTGTATATGTAATGGTCATCGCAGTCATTAACCTCTTAAATAGAAGCAGCAGTTTTTAGCTTTACTCCTCACCTGCACTGGCTGAAAAAGTTCCCATTTATTCAACCGGGCTGAATTATTCATGCTATGTTACATAATTTAAATAAGTGCAAAATGAAGTCTTTTAAGAATGCTAAGGCTAAGACAGAAAGCATGGTACAGGTCTCAAGCTAAGGGATTTTTTGTTAGTACCAGCAGTTATGTTACTGTCAGCAAAACGCTTCCTGAAGTAGATGAGTAAGCACCGTGCAAAAGAATGGCTGTTTTTGTTTTTTTTTAATCTTTCTGTAAGCAAACTGCTATATCCGCCTAGTCTCTGAAACAAGGGTTGTAATGCTTTCAGTAGCTGCAATCTCCACACGCACAGACCAGAGAGGCGGACGAGCGCAGCGCTGCTCAGCTGCCAGCCGCTATCCCGCACTGCCTGCAGGGCTCCGGGCCGCACAACCGCCCCAGGGGCCGAGGGCAGCGAAGGTCACGCCCGCCACGGCGCTTAGGGCGGCGGCGGCGGCTGCGGCAGCGCTGTTACCTGCGGGTTGTAGGCGGCGGAGGCCGCAGCCCCGACGAGGCGCTGCGTGAAGCCGTTGAACTTGTAGTACATGGTGGGCACGCGAGCTCTCACGACCCACCGGCGGCGACGCGCGGCGCGGAAGGACCCCGCCGCCTCCTGGCCGCCGCCCGGACAAGCGAGGACCTGCGGGTGTCCGTGGCGAGCGCCTGCGTGCAGCGCCCGGAGGAGAAGTCGAAGGAGCGAGGACAGAGCGATGCCCGCGCGCGCGGCAACACAAGGCTCGGTGCGCTGCGGTGCCACGCTGGAGCCGGGCAGGCAGCGGCCGTCAGGCACAGGGAAGGCGCCCTGAGGGAGGGCGGGCAGCTTTGCGCATGCGCGGCGGCTGCGGTCGGAAGTCTGTCGGTCGGTCAGTGGTGCCAAGGTGGTAGAGGTCGATGGAGGGGAGCACCGTGCCGCGATCCGTGCCCTGTGTCTGCTTCGTGGGTGTGGGGCAGTTTGCTCTGAGCTTCTTGGTGGTGAAAGCTTGCTGCGGTTACATGCGTCTCACAGCGCAAATGCTTATGCCCTGCAAATTGTCTGCCCAGGCTGACTCTGGGGTCTCAACTCCGCATAATAAAAGATGTTCCAGTGGTAGTGCTTCATGGTTATTGGGCCGTGTGGGACCACAGGTGCCCCGTGGGTGCAGTGAGCACAGAGTGCAGCCCCAGCTGTGCCTCTGAGGAGATGTCATCACCGGGAAGGGTGCTGTTCCACTAGGTCCATCTCTGCTGTCCTCTGGAGAGGCAGGGTGGTGCTGCACGTGTGACACAAAACATCTACTCATGGTATTAGGGGCATTAACCAGCAGTGCTGCATTATTTGCTCAGTAAGTAGGAGATTTATGAAAGCGTTTTGTAAATGTTACAGGAAGAATTCTGAAATCCCTGTAGCTTTAAAGACTGGGAAGTATAAATGAATTGGAATGAGGGCTGCATTTATTTTATTTTATTATTTATTTGTTTGTTTGTTTATTGTGGAAAGGATTTTGCAGCTCAGAATTCTGCTTATTTCTGGTAAAACTAAACTGGAAGATGAGCTTGACTGCAAATCTGCCTGTAAGAAAACAGAGATGCTGAAGATAGGATATGTGTGTTCTTTTAGAATGGAATCGTGGCTATGTTCCTTATGCAAACTGTTTCAGTCTGCTGATGTCCGTTAGAGCTGGTTTGTACCATGACTGCTGCAGACCCTTTCCTGAGGCTTGATTTTCTGCATGTTCACCTTAGTTCCCCCTGCCCTGCTCTTTCAGTATTTGTGAAGACAAATAGGTTTGCTTAGCAAGCTCTTTTACTAAAGTTGTGTCACATCTCATTCCTCTGCATTTTGTTCCAATGTGAACGCATCCAGAATCTTGGAGAAGGATTTTCAGCAGCTCACATATGGAGATGATGCCACTTTCCTTGCTTTGTTGAGTCCAGTTCTTAAAATGTTCAGTATTGACTGAAAGCTACAGAAAGGAGCTCTGAGGAGGAAATGAAAAATGTACAAATGCACCACTTTTTTTTCAGTTAACTAATTTGAGTTATAATACTTACAAGTGAGCTGTTGAAACATAAACCTAGGGACTGTCTCTTGTTTTAGCTCAGAAAACTGAAGGTTGGGAATTCTTTGCCTTGCAAAAGAGATACATGGGAGGACAATTAAAATTAATTACAATTGGAGCTTCCATTGTTCTCATAACACAAAAGCACAGAGATATTCCCTGAAAAGGAAAATAAAATAAAGGATAATATGAAGCCTTTCCTGTTAAAGGAAGAAAATTGTTTGTGCTTTAGGCTCTTGGTCCAATTTTCTTTTAGTCTGTAGATGTTTGGGTATCAGCCTTGCTGACAGGATATGGAATTAGATTGTAAAACTGCTGCTATAGGAAGTAACTGGGGGCAAAAAAAGGCCACTCTCCCTAGCAGGGTTAGAGGAGGATGGGCCATTTCTGTGAACCATGGAAGTATGCACTGCTAATGTAAACAAAGTGTCCCAGCAGGAGGAGAGTTCCTGCATCAGACTTTAAGCTGAAGTCTAACTTCTAAGCAGTGAGATGAGCAATTTGTGGAGACTGATAACTACAGCCAGTCTGTTAGGGTTGTTTTACCTTCATCTGTGGAGTGATACTGACAGAAGCTGAAGAAAACAGTGGTCTACAAGCTATGCTGTAGTCTAATCTTTTCCATTTATTTTTCCAGGATTTTTTAAAGTAGCTGATTTCATACATGCAAATTTAAGGTTATGCTTCTAGGGGAATAGATTTTGGGGAGTAAATGGAGGAAGCAGAGTACCTTGAGTACTAGGTTTTTTGTTGATGAAATTGTTATGTTTTTATTTTCAATTTGAGGATAAAATAAATAAAAAAACAAGACCTTGTTCAGTTGCTTAATGAACGACACCCTCGTATGCTGATCAATATTTCAGCACAGATGTCTGCAACTCAAATTCTGTGAATCTGCCCATGCAGATCTGTCCTTGAATTCCTGAGAACAACTATGTGGGTGGATTTAGAACATAAAATTGCTGTGTGCACTTATGTTTTGTTTATGCAATACTCATTTTTTAAAAGTACTAGATTGGATTTGTTTAATATTTGCCTTGTGTATCTGTGTGTGTATATGTATAATATATACAAACCTCCTAACTACATGATGATCGCCAAGCATAAGCTCTATTAATGTAAGAGACTGTGACATTGTAAACATGTTGTCTGAACAGTTTTATCAACTGTAAGAAACAAATCCTATGCACAGAATGGTAATTTCATGATTGTTTATAAAAGCTACCTGAATTTATTGGTGCTTTATTGCTCAATTTACTGGATACATCACAGATGATTCTCAGAAATACTGTTGTTAGCTGAAAGAGTTCTCTTCAACAGACTTAATGTTGAAAATTGGTTAAGATAGCTTTTAATTGTAAAGCTATTCATGTAGTTACGAGTATAAATTTAACCACAGTTTTTGTGCCTTTCTCGTAGAAAAATCCTTCTGATTTTTTTAAAATTATTTTTTTCTCACGAGGTATGTAGAGTTAAAGAGAGTTATGTATCTTCTATGTGAGTTTAGAAACAATTTATTTCACTTTTGCTTCATGGGCACTTTCATCTTCATGGGGGGCTTCTGCTTGAGAGATACTTGGTAGCAATAGCAATTTTGGCAAAAATGGCATTGTGTTGGCTATAGCATATGAGTGAGGAATCATCTCAAAGGTGTTGAATTTGATTTAGGGGAATCTATCTCTTGTCATGTAAGATTCTTTTCAGGTTTGGGGACAGAACTTAACTCAAAAAGACAAGTAAGGAATTGAAAACTTGGTGATCTAATTCTTCTAAACCCCAGTGCTTGAATAAAGCTTCTGGGGCAATAAGTTATGCTTTTAGTAGTCTGTTCCTTTGCAATTGTGTTACGTGTTTAATAGCACATTGGAAATTGTGGAAGCAGTTGTTTGTTCAAGGTTAGTGACAAAATATTGTTTAATTCTCCCATTTTCAGATGTGAAAAGCACTGTAGGGACCTCCAGTAAATATTTCTTTCTCTTTTTCCCAGTTTCGTTGTCTCTGCTTTTTATTTTTCCCTGTATTATCTGAATTGCAGAACTGAGGGTAAGCTTTTCATCTGATTGAAACATCCATGTTCTCTGTCATTAAAATCATAATTACCTAAGCACCATATATACTTTTTAAAGAAAGTAATCTTGAAATTTGTGTACCTTCTCTTTATGGCTTACAATGCTTATCACTTTTGAAACACCGTACTGAGAGGTGGGATCCTTTGCACTTTGCTTTTGACTGATGAAGACAACAGTACTGAAAAAGCACATCTGTGTTTTTCTACTCTGATATATTTTTTTCCTCTATGACCAGAAGAGAAGTCTTAAACTATTTGGTCTTTTCTTTTAGATATTATATGTGTAGTGAAATAGTCACCCAAGTGAAGTGAGCTGTATCATTGAACATCTAGTGTTAAAATTTATCTTCAAGGTATTTTATTTTTACTCAGTTGCCAAGATCTTTCTTCATCTCTCTTCTCCCTCTCCCTAGGCTGTGAGTGTTTATCTCCAAGCAGTCAATAGTCCCCAGCAAATGCTTAATTTTTCAGCTTTGTTGTAGATACTGGGAGGATGATGCATTGTCATCATATTTCATTTCTTCTTGTCAGCCTTTCCATGTGCAAATGCATGAAGACTGGAGTCCAGAGATGACTGCATATTTAAGCAATATTGCAGCCAGTTCTCTAAATGAAGCAAGATGATTTATAAACAAACAAAAAAAACAAAACAAAACAAAACAAAAAAAAACACAAAAACACTGCACACAAAATACTCTGTGCAATTTGTGTAATATGTGACAGATAGACAATAGTATAGAGTCAAGCTGAGGAAAGATTCTCTGCTGTTTCTCAATATTAACAGCTAAATACAATTGTTTTGGAAACGCATAGGGCAATTTATACCAGGTGGCTTGATTTGAGTGCTGAAGTCTTTCAATTTCTTGCCTTTCATAAGTCACTTATGACTTTATCAGTTGCCTATCTTATACAGTGTTCTGAAATACTTGGACTTAATTTATCCTTTCCTAGCAGTGACCCAGACTAAAAGTAATCTGAAATTATCCTACCTGGAATGTACATGGTGTGGATGTCCAATCCTCAGCATCCACGGTTCTGCACTTCACTCCATCGCTTGTCTGCACTACTTCCCACAGGGGGCATAGCCTGGTAAGTTGTGGAAAATGGGATGTGAAGACGGATTTTCTGGATCCTGATGCCTGCCTAGAATCACTGCTGCTACCTCTAGGGCACAATTCCAGGTACTGCCATGAGATAAAGCAATTGAGAGCTGACTGAACTCTTGCTATACCCACTCAGAACGCCCAGCTTTGCTCAGATTATTTTTCAACAGGCTGTACTCTAATGGGTTTTTGTTTGGCTGATTTGCAGAAGGGAAAATATAAAAAGACACGCTTAAATTTAGTAATACTAATGTCAATTGTGTGGTTACTAGAGAAAGCTCTCTCACAGAAAATGTTCTTGTTTTATGAATCATTTAGTACATCAGAGGTAACATAATAAAAATAGATTGCTGCCATGTGATCAGTGTCTCCAGCTTTGAAAATTGAATAGGTTTAAAAATGTTATTTTTTGAAGATTGCATTCTGCCAGCAGCAGGATCTCTTATGCTGTGATACATTTGTAACTCCCCTTGTTAATTTCCCTGCAGCATCCTGTAGCCTCGCTGACATCTGTAAGCAGGTATCAAGTGTGCCAGTGCAGTCTCTCCATATGGTAGGGTAACTCAGATATACTTGGTTTTTGCAAGTTTTTAGATGCTTTCACTCTTTGTCTTCCCATGTTAAAGTGATATTTTTACTTTTTAAAATATTTTCATTGTCAGCTCTTGTATACCTGTCTGTGCTTTCTTACTGTTGTCAGAAAAGGAACGTGTAAAACTGGGTGCCCCAGCAGATGAAAAAACCCTAACAGCATTTCCCTGCATAGGAGAAAGAAATTGCGAAGATTTGCTAAAAGTGAGGGAGAACACTGAGAAAATCTGAAGTTGAGGGAAAGAAGGAAATGCAGTAGCAGCTCTGCAAAAATGGACTGAAGAGTGCTAGAGTGCTCCAGCTTGTCTGCTAAAGGTTTTTCGCAGTAAACTTTGATGAACCAACTCTGCCTGACTTGTCTTGCTTTGATTCTGTTATAAAAATTGTTTGTGAAGATTTTCATTTGGCTCAATGTATAGGAGTCTGGGCTCTTGTAGTGGAAAAATCTGAGTTCCCTTTTGCTGGGGAGTATTAGAGCTTGCAGAGGCATTCATAGTGCAGGCATGTTCTAGTAAGAGTGCACTGTCCCGCTTTGTAGCTTCAGAGAGCTGAAAAGATGAGGAAGTATGGGAACTGAGTTTTGGCAGCATGGTTTTACTTGCATTTTAATTCATGTTTTCTTGATTGTTTCACATCCCTGATTTAGTTCTCCTTTTAGATTTTTGCAATGGGATTATGGTTTCTTGATGGATTCCCTGTGTGACAAGAGCTCCTGTTGCTTGCTTTTCAAAGAAAGAATAGAAACTTGCTTCTATGTGTCCTCAGAATTGCTGGAGGTGGTACTACTTTGACCCCAATTAAATTGCTCATCCCAAATCAATTTGCCACCACACAGACAATATTAGATTACTAGAATCTGAACCTACAGACTCAAGCCTCTCAGCATTGGCTAAACAGTTGCCTTATAATGTAGAGATTACGCTAAAACAAAAGGAACCATATTACTGTAATTTCTTTCCATCTTTCTTTTTTGCTTTCACTAGGTTATTATATTTATAACATCATGTTTGCACTGCTGCAGTAAGAAGTGAATTGAGAGTGAGATCTACTTCCTATCCTTACAGAAAAATTTTATGGGTATAGACAAGGGAACTGTTCTCCAAACACCATTAAAAAGTTTTTACTTAAGGTCTATATATACTCAGGGTAATTTAAGAGCTGGCTTTGCTTCGCACATAAACTAGTTTGGACTTTGGAACAATACCTGTCTTTTTGTTTTCACTTTTTTCCTTTTTGAGCCATTTTATCCCTAAAGCTTAAAAATTTCCTGAAGCTGGTTACAAAAAATCTGAAATAATGAAATATGATTTACATATTTGATGGGTGAAGAGGAAATAGGAGACATCATAGAGATCTTATGGTTTATTTATGACTACAGGTAAATAACTGCATGTTTCTATAATGGATTTACTCTGTTTTTACTCTGAAATGTACCATCCATGCACATTGAATGCCTTTTGTTTCAGATCCGTGTGTTGTCTTTTAGCAGTGAAAATGCTTAATGCAGTACTGTAGTTGTCATCTCCCTGCTGTGGTCTCCAAGACAATTCAGCTGAGCTTTTGTTTCATTCTCTTTTGAAAAGCAAATTAGTAAGGATTGTTTGTAGTATATTGTACTTTAGAATATCAGGAGAAAATTGCTAAGGATGTTGCTTGGGAACCCAGATTCTGGAACGGACCACAGCAGAATTTGCTGCATATGTTTGTATTAGCCTGGAGTGCAAGAAACTGACTGACATGGCGCTGTCTACAACTTCAGCTTGTATAAGCAGCAACAGGTTGTGTTTAGTCTATCAACTGTCATGATTAAAAGCTAGGATAGGGACTTTCCATGCTGAGATGACACATGTCCATGGAGATTTCCAGCACTCTTCTCAAAGGAGATGTAACTTTTCTGAGCCTTTAAGTCAAAGCCCTTTGTTTGCTTTTATGTGTGTTTTGCGTTACAGCCTGCACAGACCAGTCCTTGGATCTCCTTACTGTAGATGCCGTATGTTTTTTGGGTAGACATTATCAGTCAATGGAAAGAGAGAAAGCTGCTGAATGGGCTGGGTTGATGCTAGATTTTCTTCTCTGTGATATGAAAAATTGCTTCTGTAGGCATACACTTCCACAAGATGTTTAGAGAGAAATAGTAAATCACAAATTTGGGAATACAAATTGTCACAGAGTGTAACCTGAAGAAAGGGTTTAAAGTGTTTCTTATCAAAGGAGGCAGATTTCCACTGGATTATGCTTACAAGAGATGAGTGGACTGCAGAACTGCTTTTTAATACAGTTCCTTGAAGGAAGTGATTTATGGATGTACCTGCAGAGACGACAGTAAAACAGAAAGAAATAGACAGGATGAGAAAGCAGACCATTTCAGAAGTGTTTGGTACTCATACAGAGGCCAGTACAGCTAGTAACAAAAAGAAAATGGGGCAGCTATGAAAAGGGTAGGAACCAAAGAGGAAGGGAGTTGGATTAAAAAAGTCTAACAAAGGAAAGCAGAGATGTGTTCTCAGGAGGGGCATGGCAGGACATTAACAGTGATGGGGTGGAGGGCTGGAGAACAATGCAGCCCTATTGTGTTTGGTGTCTGGGAATCATCTGTATTGTCTGTTCTTAATTTTTGGTGAGTTGCTTTTAGAAAGGACTTCATAATTGTCTCAGCGCATTTTGCACAGCTAGAGTATTTTCAACCTCTGCCTATCCCTCTAGTCCCATCTCTTTTTTTTTTTTTTTTTCCCCATGAATCAGCCTTCTGTGATGATCTTTGAGTTTGCACGACAGTCCTAGCCTCTAAGTGATAAATGCCCCCAGGCCATGGAATATAAAGTAATGAGTCGTCAACTGGGTCTTAAACTGAATTCTTTAACACCAAGTGAAAGTAAAGCATCCCAAGTTCTGAACTGCCAGTTGCTGCTAGCACTGCTTCTACATACTGCTGGAAAGGATCTAGCCAGTGGACATGCCTTGTTTCAAGCTTGTCTGATTTGCTTTACAGATGCTTGGAAGAAATAATGACTTAGAATAATAAACCAAAAAATAAAGTGGTAAATACTGAATGTGTGTCAGCAGTGTTCACTGACAGCCAAAAAGACCAACCATACCTGGTGTGCCCCAGGCCTAGCACTGGCAGCCAGGAGTGGGAAGGAATTGTCTGACACCGGTCTGCACTGTGCAGTCTCACCTCGAGCAGTGGGTGCAGTTTGGGTGCCACAATCTAAAAGGAACATAAAACATGAGTATCCAAAGGAGATCTACCAGGATGTTAAAGGGTTTGGAGGACAAGGTGCATGAGGAGCAGCTAAGGTCTCTTAGTTGTTTGGCCCAGAGCAGAGGAGCTAGTGGAGGCTCATGGAATCTGCAGCTCCTCATGGGAGTGGAGGGCAGCGCTGAGCTCTGCTCTCTGTGACAGCAACAGGACCCTTGGGCAAGGCATGGAGATGTGTCAGGGGAGGGGCAGCTGGAGGTTACAGAAAGGTTCTGCATCAGGGTGGTGGGCATGGAACAGGCTGCCTAGAGCAGTGGTCGTGGCCTCGAGCTGCCAGAGTTCAATAAGTCTTTTAACAGCACTATTAGACATAGGTTTTGAATCTTGAGTGGTCTTATGAGGAGCCAGGAGTTGGAATTGACGATTCTTGTGGGTCCCTTCCAACTCAGGATATTCTATTTTTTTGATACTTACAGATCAGCAACATGGATATTCTATTGGCAATACCTATTCAGCTGCCAGGTTACCTAGTGTTGGTGAGCTTTACTGCAGATGTTTGAGTAGATTTGAGTGGGCTGCAGGATGTGAGGGGCCAGGCTGAAGCTGTAGGCAAAGGGTAGGATGATTTAGGCTATTCTGTATTGCATTGTAAAAGCTTCGCATGACTTACTGCTTTGCTTTGCATGACTGTTTCTTTCCCATTATATGTGACACTTATTGCAGAGGAGGAGAGAGTTTTTTAGCCTACGCTGACACAGAGAAATGAAATGGATATTTGCTCTCAGCTATCTAATCTGAATAGCATTTCAAATGCGACTGTGACAATCTAAGTGAAAAGAAAGCAAAGGTAAGAGGTGCCTCAGTTGTGGGATGTTAATGTTTAACCTTAAGGCTCCTTGAGTGAGGATCAGGCAAAAAGAGAAAGTCTAAGGAAACAAGCAGGATAGAGATGCTGAAGATGGTATCTGCTATTCAAAGGGAAGCCAGTGGGCTTCGTAGTCCCTGGTCTTGCTGAGAATAATCTGGCAGGTACATGCAAGCCTTTGTCCTCCAAAATTCAGATGTCAAGCAGAATTTTCTAGAAGCAAAGCAAAATTTATCTTAGCTAGCTTTAATTCTGTACTCATTGTCCATCCCTATTTTTTTTTTTAATTTCTTTTCAGATATACCTGATTCTTAAGTCTCTTGAGGCAACATAGTTTAAACAGCTGTTGTGACCTATACGCTCAGTTTGTACCCAGCAGGTACAGCCTGAAGTCACTGCATACAGAGGCAGGGATACGCACGGAAACTACATAAATTTGAAGGCTATAAGCCAGACTTTGTAGCAGGAATCCACACTTTTAGATTTGAGTTCATTTTTTACTGAAATATTTTTTGTTACTGAAGATTTTCTTTTCATGGCCTCTGCTTGACTGTGCTTAGAAATTAACCTGTTGGGATTGTTTCTCTTCTATAACATTTATATAGTTTCTATACAATAGCATCCTTATATCGTGTCAAGGATTCAGGATTCATATAAACTGCCTTGGTTTTACTTGTTCATAGCTTTCCATCAAGTGATTCCACTGACATCCAGTTAAACCTTAGCAAAAAAATCATGGTGAGAAGCTGTGCTATCTTTGCACAGCTGGTACTGATGACAAAGGTTTTTTGGCAACATAGGAATAATCAACTTCTAAATGCTGCATCCTGTTTTAGCAACTGTAAAATGGAGGGGGAGGAGAGGAATTGTATTTGAGTACTTAAAAGTATACCAGACTCAACAAAGTAGTGATGTTCGTGCTGCAGAGAAAAACAGTGTTGCTTGCTTGCACTTTCATCTTGTTTCCTGTTTGGTGTTGTGATTTGGTCTTGGATTATGGATTTTTTTCTTGTATTTTTTTTTGTTTTGTTTGTTTTTCTCTTTGTTTTTTGCAGCAACGTTATAATTTTGACCCATGGCTATATATTACTTAGGAAAACAGAAGCCTGGTTCCTAGTTGCTACTTCAATATTGATGAAGCATGAATGGAAAGAAATAGAAAAACAAAAATTGAAGTCTGAAGGAGTTTCTGGAATACAATGTCTGGAAATAATGTCATTTTTGAAGTTTTTGATTTTCTAGATTTTATTGAATCTCTTCACTGTCTTTTAGAAATTCTTATGACAAAAAAAATGTGTTAAATGTTCTCTGAGATAGCAAGAATCCTATTTTACTTTTTGGTATTCAGTATATTTGTGGTTACATCTTGGATTGATAGGAGATGCAAGTGCTGAAGGTGTCTGTAAAATAATGTGTTAAAACATTAAAAACAAGAGAACTTTTGCTTCCAAAATATTTCAGAAGTTCTTTTAACAAAATGTTTGCAGAGCATGCTCATATCATTTATTTCATGTAAAAACTTAGTAAACTGATAAATAAGTGAGATGTAGAAATGCTCATGAGTTCTAAACGAAAGTCTGTTCGTTTTCATAATAATGCAGTGAGCTGATGCCAAAGTAGCTGATAATTCAGAGATCTCTTAAAATATTCAAACTTTTTTCTGAAGAACATTAGTTGTGTTCATTTTTTGGAAGTACACTTGAAATGGCTGCACTTAATGAATCACCAAAGTGCATCTCTACTCTTAGTTCATCGCTTTAGCTCCTATCATGAGCCACAGCAATGCAAGCATTGCACTAGGGGACTTTCTTGTTACTTTGTAGTTCCAGAAGTATGAATATATTTCAGTGAACTTGAAGCCAAATTTGATCAATTTTTCTAGATTGTTCTTCTGGAATAACAAATGTACTACATGGTTGCTTTTTCTTTTCTGTTGTGGTTTTGGTGTTATTTTGTTTGTTTTGTTTGTTTGTTTGTTTTTTGGTTTTGTTTTGTTCTTTTTCCCAATAGTTCTGTTGCCTGTAATTATCATCAACATGGAACTGTTTGAGTTGGAAGGGACCTTTAAAGATCATCTAGTCCAACTTGCCTGCAATGAACAAGAAGACCTACAGCTCAATGAGGCTGCCCTGTCCAGCTTAACCTTGAAAGACTCCAAGAACAGGACATCCACCACCTTCCTAGGCAACCTGTTCCAGCACTTCACTACCCTTTATCATAAAATGCATTTTTCTTATATCCAATCTATATCTCCCCTCTTTTTGTTTGAAACTATTTTCTTTGTCCTGTCATAGCAGTCCCTGCTAGAGTCTAGCCCCTTCTTTCTTATAGCCCCCCTTTAGATTCTGAAAGGTCGCTCTCAGATTGAACAGCCCCAGCTCTCTCAGCTTGTTTCATAGGAGAGGTGTTCCATCCCTTGGATTATTTCTGTGGCCCTCTTCTGGACACACTCCAACAGGTCCATGTCCCTCCTGTAATGAGGACTCCACATCTGGACGCAATACTGCAGGTGAGGTCTCACCGTCACAGACTTATGGGCAGGATCACCTCCCTTGCCCTGCTGACTTCTTTTGATGCAGCCCAGGATACAGTTGGCATTCTGGGCTATGAGGGCACATTGCTGGCTCATGTCCAGCTTGCTATCCACCAGTATCCCCAAATTCTTTTTGGCAGGGCTATGCTCAACCCTTTCATCTGCCTGCTTGTACTGATAGTGGGGGTTCTCTCAACCCAGATGCAAGACCTTGTGCTTGGATATATTGTACTTCATGAGGTTCTCCTGGGCCCACTGCTTAAGCCTATCTAGGTTCCTGGATGGTGTCCTGTCCCTGGGTGCACTGAATACATCACACAGGTTGATATTATCCACAGACTTGCTGAGGGTGAACTCAGTTCCACATTGATGAAGATACTAAAGAACATCGGTTTCAGTACTGAGCCCTGCAGTGCACCATTTGTCAGTGATCTCTGTCCAGAGATTGTTTTAATGCCATACAATTACTGTTGCTGAAAAGAATAATCCTTTCTATTGATTGATTGATTGATTGTATTATCTAATCTGTTTCAATTGCAAATGTTTCTCATGATCAAAGAGGTACCAACCATTAAATATTCTTATTGTACTGGATTAAAACTGGCAAATACTAGAAATGAGCCAGTTTTTCCTCATTTGGCTTTGACATGCTATATTTTAAAAGAAAGCACTGTACCCAATGGCTGCATAAAACACAATCTCAAGTACACTTTCAGTAAAAGTTTCACCTGTTCAAATATGTTCTTATTTTGGACCACGAATATAATTCATTTTCTTTACGGTTTCACTAAACAAAAAAATAAGAAAAACACTTGTTCATAGAGAATGGTATAACATATACTGCTAAAAATCAAGAACCCTAATTGCTTAGTATAAGATTCTCTTTTAAGGTTACTGTTGAGGTCATGTTATTTCAGCGTGGTTTCTAGAGAAACCAGTCTACATGCTGATAATCAAAACAACATCCAAAAAAAAAAAAAAAGCCCACCAAACTTACAACAGAAGAACCAACCCAACAGTATCTCTTCTTAGTTGTCTTATCAAGAGAGCAGTTTCAAAATAATATTTTATTATAGCTGAATTAAAAATACATAAGGTCATTTTGTCCACGTTTTGCCATACAAAAATTGAACATAAACTTTAAAAAAAGTATATATTTCCATATATTTCCACAGTCTTATTCCTTTACACAATTATTTTCTGTAGCTAATCTTTTTATACTGGGGAACGAATTCATTAGCTGGAAAACAATTCATAAAGGATCAAACATTTTGTTTGTGTACCAAATATAACCTGGATCTGTTCATCTATGAAATTTTCCTGTACTTAATTGCTTATATAAAATGATTCAAGAAGCAAATTGATATTCACAAGTTAACATGTGCATTAATTTTTTTCCTTTGTACAGGCATCTAAAAATTAGATTTATGGTAGTATTGAGTAATACTGAGATGTGTTTTATTTTGTCTTGGAAGCAAGATTGCAACATACTTTAAAGTGCATTTCCATTGTATACTCATTTCAAACAATTGTCGTCCTGATGATGAGTTGTTTTGTGGGAGGAGGGTTCTACCTCAGATATTGATTTGGTCAATGAACAAAAGACAAAGTCATTTTTAAGGGCGTTCATTGGTATTTTTCCCTAGGTTAATGCTTGAGAAATAACATGAATATCTGTAGGTAGGAGATCTTAACTGGGTATTGGTTTTTGTTTGTTTTTGTTTTTCCATTTTTAAAAGAAAAAAATTTGGAGAGAAGTTTAAAAAATAGAAGTTTTCTCCTTAAAATTTGGATTATTTTTATACTGTCAAAATAAACTTCTCATTAGAAGATGAAAATATCATTTTCTTCAAACAGCTTTGTTTGGATTTAAGGTTGAAATTTCAGTTCTATCAAGGAGGAGTTTTTTTGTGAGGAGAAAATATTGCAACTGACTATAATATATCATATATGCAGGATATATATAGGTACACATGCAGGAATACAGAGCCAGCATCTCCACCGGAGTAAGACATCTGAGTGTCTCTGAAGTCACTGCTTGCCTAACTAACATCAGATGTGAATCTCACCTAAGAATTGTTTGTTCAACTGATATTCACCACTTTGTGGTTGCAAGAGCACATTCCTGAACTACACAATTCTGATACAAAAGGCATAAGTATAGCAGAATAGGGAAGTTTACAGCTGACCACCTGCGCACCAGAATGTGTCAGTGACAAGAAATGGAGGTATGTTTGCAATGGTACTCAATAATGATTTCTTTAAAAACTGCTGAAGGAAAAGTCAAGCTTGTCTTTGAGAAAGCTGCTAAAATTATTTTCAGGTCTTCAGAAACATTTTATTTTTCAGTGTATTTCTTAAGACTACTTAAGACTAAGACCACATAAAATGCTAATAAATTGTTCAAGTCTCAAGTGTTCTTTCAGAGTAGAGCCTTGAACATACCAGTCACTGGACAATGTGATGCTTTTCTCTGAGAGAGCAGTTCCAAATCTGTGTTTTCTAGGTGGTATTCATTTTATTTCTAAAGCTGTTAACAAATACATATACAAAAGATACTTCTACAGCGCAGTAATATTAAATGCATTATTTTAAGGCAAGCACACCAAATTCAACTATGCTGACAACTCTGAACTTTGAGGTTAGTAATGAGGTCCCTCACTGATGTTTATTGGTACCCGAATTTGTAAAGCTGTACCTAAACGTGTTTTAATATGTAACTGCACAGTTCTACATAGCAGCTTTTCAGAATTATACAGTACAAGGCTATTTAGCAGTACTACACAAGAAATGTAGTGAACAGCATTTCAGAACCTAACTTGATTCATTTTAATTTGTAGTTACACTGGAGAATATACCCTTTTGCCAAGTGCAACTTGCACTTCTATTTTTCACTTTCTTTGATATCTTTTGGGCAGTTGCTTTTAATACTTCCATGAAGTGTATCCTTGGTTAGGGACTGTGTAATTTAAAGATGATGGAGAGTCTTATTTGACAGGGAGCAGCTGCTTTTGTTTTCCATGCTTTCTCCAGACTGTTTCAAGTGATGGTATTTATAATTTGTCTTAAGAGCTTTCACTGTGATATATATAAATGTTTAATTAAGTGGAAAAAAAACAACGCTAATGAATATGTAATTTCAGGTGGATGGAGTTGAACTGAGCGTATATAAAATTTGGATAGCTCTCTCACTAAACTACCTCAAAATACATTTATCAATGCCAGTACTTTTGTGTTGATCTTCAAAAAGCACAACACTTCTATTAAAGGTTTGATTCCAGAGAAGAAAGTAACTGTGGTTAGAGAGATCTTTGCTACAACATTCAGAGCTGCATGTACTTCTGCTAAACATTGCTCTGAATGATATAAGATGTAATTATGGGAATGATGGACCTCAGTGTTAAGCCCATTAATTTGTTCTGCTTTTGTGCGGAGAGGCAAACTCAAGATCAAGCTGGAGTCTTGAGTTGAGGAGTTGGAGTTGAGGACTTCTGAATCCCTTTTTGTCATTTTGTTCTCTCAAATTTGGCAACATCACTCTCTCTCCTTGCAAAGTGCCCAAGGTAGGTAGCCATCTTTCCTGTCTGAATGGTGATGGGCTTTCTCCGGGCAGGCGAGAATGTTGTTCCATAGGACCGTCCAGTCAAGGAGGAAACATGAAGGGACTTCCCACCATTCTCTGCTAAGACAAAGCTTAGCAAGTAACTACAACAGAATTCAAGTTGGATCAATTTAAGAATTCAGCAGAGAGGCTTCTACCATACCTAGCAGATCGGAACTTGAGCTCATGGTAACACTGCACAAAGCTATGATAAATGAAAGTGATTGGCAAGGCTAGTAAAACGATGCCACTAACCACGCAGATTCCTCCAAGAATCCTTCCTGGTACTGTGATGGGACACATGTCACCGTAACCAACTGTGGTCATAGAGATGATCACCCACCAACAAGCAGCAGGGATGCTGGCATAATCCTTATTCTTAGTTCCCAAGTCCAGCCCATTTTCAAGCAGCTGGGAAAGTGCACTGAAAATTGCCATAGCAACACAGATAAAGACAAGGAGCATCACCATCTCTCTGTAACAACGCTTCAGAGTCAGACCAAGTGTTTGAAGGCCAATGAAATGACGAGCCAGTTTAATCACCCAAAAAATCCTCATCATTCTTAAGACCCTCAAGGTGACTCCAGCCCTCTGGAGCTGAGAATTTTCCCCTGTAAAAACTGTCATTAGAACAGAGATGTAGTAAGGAGTAATTGCCAGTAAATCAATAATGTTGAGAGGTCTTCTGACAAACTCACACTTGTTCTTTGAAACGATGAACCTCACAATGCACTCTGCAGTGAACCAGCCTATGCAGATAGCTTCAATTATCCTGTCAAAAAAAAGAAAGTACAGCATTTATGTTCTGTGAAAGGGCTTTGGTGGAGGTTTGATGTTTTTTTTTTCACAGACATTACCAAATTGACATTCAGACCTTCACAAATGACAAACAGAAAGCCACACTGTTTTTATTCTGAGCATGAAGCACCAGATTTCAGCAAATAACCTTAGGATCTAATGAGGAGTTTAAACTGCTCTGTGCTAAGACCTCATTCACTGATCATTTTCTGTGGATTATATATGCCTATCCTAATACTGGAGAAATATGCCTACAAAATCTGGGACCCTAGACAAAATGGTGTGCCACCAATGCCAGTGTGTAACATAATCTAAAATACTTTGTGGTTTTGTTTTAAATTTGCGAGGCTTGATCCATTTAGGAATGCCAAGGACTGTGGATCAGTGAACTGGTGATGTGTTCATCCAGATTGCTAAACTAGAATGAAAATGAAGATGGAGTAGGTGGAAATCAGCTATTGCATCAGATAATTCATGCAAATTGGCTCTTTAAGAACCAGCTGAAACCAGCCTTATTTGCATCCCGAACAGGGGCTTACCTAGAACTATATTCAAGATTTCATAGTATTGCCACTGAATACAGATAGTATTTTATTCTTCGCCATAGGGTAAACATAGTACCAAAGTAATAATCTAGTATGCCTTTATGCTGAGCATCACTGAATTTTATATTTTCTTTTAAATGTAACTCCCTCTAAACTGTGCCATAACAAAATGTCAGGGAGCAAAATGATAGGCAGGATTGTCTTCTCAAATACAAACAGCTGCCTTGATAAAAGAAAGCACTGCTCTTCTGGAGGGTGATTTCAGCACTCTCTTGAGTGTTTTAAAGTCCTGCATGAGCATGTGAGACTTGAGATCATTTTCAAATTGAAACTTCTACGTAAGATAGAAACAGAAGATAAATTTTCCCTGCAATTATTTGATAACGGTAGTGCACATTCTGTTGAATATCACATCTCAAAATAACCCTTTTCTTTAGGAAAAACTGTTCAAACTGTTGTCACTTGCTTAATATTGGATGGAATGGCAATTAGTATTTCCCTCTTTCCTTTGTTTGCTTTCACTAACTTTTTGTGTAAGGAAAAAGCCACTCACCAGTACCGTCTCTACCAACAGGTCTGACACCTAAGTGACCTTAGAGTGGAGACCTGAAAATACTAGATGCAACTTTTTTCTACTGCAGGTTTTCTAATAAGGTACAGTCTATAGGAAGAATAATGATTTGTAAGTAATAATTTAGCTGTCACTTAAAGTTCTGTTTCCTTAACACATTAATATATATATACATATTTACTGTTTCTGAAATCTGTTGACATTGTTGTTAAGACAGGGGGCTGCTAGAGAGACAGATTCTTCTGTAACTGCTGTAATTATGTTAACAGACTATAAAACAACTTTCACAAAAGCTTCATACACTAAAGTTTTGTTTTAACTTTGTTTTATTCCTTTATTCGCTTCAGTTATATACTAAAAAGTAGAGGCAATAGTAATAGTCAGTTGATGTATATTCATAATGTATGCTATGATTTCAGCCGCAGACCTTATAATGATCTTATTTGTGTTTCACAAATACCAGTGAAAGCCCTGTAAGCAAGGAGCCATTCTTAATAAAGGGCTTATAAATTGCTTGTTCATGTTAGCAACCTCTGATGTAAGGTCCCACGAATTTCAAAAATAGCTTTCCCTTAAGAATTATGTGTTCTCTTAAACAGTGAGCCTTTGAAGACACTAGTGTTCTTGTGAATAATAATAGTGAATGGCAACTAGGTCAGATCCCAATTTGGTTTTAAAAAGAAAGTTCGGATCATAACGCCTTCTGAACAAGTCTTGTACAGAATATATGAAAGTTATTGTATGAATGTGAATTATCGTCACATTGAAAAATCGAGAGAAAAATGTAATTGGGTAAATTCACTTCACTCATTTTTTACATACATGGCTAGAAAATACATAAAACTTTCTTCAGTAAAAGGAGCCAAACAGAAAAGTTATGCTAATGAATAAACTGATGAAGGCTGGAAGTGCTTCTAAGTTGGCTGAATCTTCCTGTAATTATTACAAGAAATGTGGCTGGAAATAAATTTGCAGCTAAGAATTCAATAATGTCAACCAACTTTGTTCCATTCCTTGTGAGATTTCTCAGATAATTAATTAATTAATTAATACCTGTGACCTATGACACTGAGCATTTAAATGAAAAAGCTATTCTTAATTTTACCACTAAAAATTGCTATATTTGGTATTTCCTCCTGATGCCCCTAAAACAATGGTGGTGTAATTCCTCGATTGTATCCCAAATTGGCAGGTTATCTGTGAGTCAAATCTTGAAGAAGCTAAGTCCTAATCACTGTGATTCAGTAGAAGTTATCTTTATGAATCACAATTGTTTGAGTGTTCTGGTACAACTTTGGGTAACAGTTGTGCAAGTCAAAATCCATGTTAGATGAAATGTGATGAATTCATTCTTTTACTCCAATGGTCCTGAGCATGAGAGATACTGTAAGTCAGTTATACTGCTTTAGGAAGGACTGAAGAACCTTTTATTGTGGACTAGAAGAGAGCTAAGGAACATCAATGATGTAAAATGAAATGCAAGATCAAAATAGTGGAGATGCATTACATCTGCGTGACAATATATTGCACTTCCATTTCTCCATATATATATATGTATATATATATATACATATTTTATTAATCAATCCTTTTTCTCATCAATTTCAATACATACTGGCTTGGGAGCTGACAAATAAGGGTATTTTCTTACTACTTAGACACAAGTGAAATGTGTTGTTCCTCCTCTCACTTTTTTTTTTTCCTCATTTGTAGATGGATTTCAACCATCCTAATGAATCACCTAAGAGAGTAAGTGATTTGGTGAGCACAACTAGAAACTTCTGACCTGTTGTGAGACCTAGAGTGCTACATACTATGTTTCCACTTTCAGATCATCTCCCTCTTCCTTATAGTGACTTATCTTTATAACTAAGTTATATCCTTGTTAATGGAGACATAATACCTAATAAGAAAATTAAAATCCTTAAAAGAATTTATATCAAGCTAAGGCCAATTGAAATTCACTAAGAAGACTAATGTTACCAAATTGTAATCAATTCTTAAAATATTGCTGCATGTTCACATGACAGACTGCCTGTTCCTGAAATAATAAGCTGCTTCAGCATCTGTATCTAACTAAGTGTATAATTAAATCATGAGCTTTATTTGGTAAAATGTAATACCTGTTCTTGTTTAGTGTATGTTTGTTTTATCCATTCAGTTTTAAAATAGCTGAGATCCAAAAAGGAGACAGGAAATGAAAAACAAGCTCATGAAGTATTTATTTGATAACACCCCACAAAATCTGAATAACCAAAGAGAATATGAAGTTCTAATTTTTAATTAATTATAGGTTATTTCTGCTCAAACTTACTGTTCATTGGCCCAGACCTAAGTCACATAAAAGAGAATGAGATTTTGTTGTTGTTTTTCAAGACATTGCCTCTTGGTACTTAATGAGTCTTTTGGCCATAAACTGGCAGTCAGTGAAGCTTTTCTGAGCCTCACTTCCTCTGTAATCCAGTCTGTGTTTAATTTTCTGTTCCGTCTGATAATTTCCTTTTGGAATAGGCAGTTTTATGTACACTAAATAAAAGTGCTTGCAAAATATTTTTCAATCACTAACAAGACTCGTTTTGCTATATGATTTAATTTTTTTTTACTATAATAACATCATAAAGTGTTTAAGCTTGCTGTTATGCCTTGGCCCAATGTGCCAGTTTGTATACTTTTAATATCCCCTTGTGATTCAGTTGAAATCTCCCCAAAATATTAATTTGTGGCACTGTTACTGATTGAGCTTGTAATAAGTAGAACATGAACATCAACAAGACACGAGGAAAACGTGAAACAGTTAAAGACAGTCTATGGCAGGATTCAAGGCTGTCAGCACTGATGTGTTAAATTGTTGCTAAATCCTATTTCCGTGTCACCTGAAGAACGTCCAAGAAGTAGCCAGAAAGATCAAACTCCTACTCAGGAAGATTCGTCATCATTTCAGCAAAAAGCCTTTTTTAATCCTTTTGAAATCAACAGGATTTCTGCCTGCCTACAAAGTGCAGAGCAAGGACCATAGAACAGCCAGTTTTGCAGGCATTTTCCCCTTCTGTCCCTGCTCTGGTAGCAGTAACTCTTAATGCATTAAATGTTGGTTAGTGCCTGCATCTTGTGGGGAGGTGTAATGACCAGCAGTGGCTGGAGAAGAGGAAAATGTGCTTCCCAGCTTCCAAGCAACATCTGGATAGGAACATTCCAGCCCTGAGGTTCCTCAGCATTTTTGTTACATTCTTGGAACATGGGATTAGCACCCAGCCTTGGTGAGATTGTTCAGGTGCCACTGTGGCCAGGGAGTGATGCATGTCCATTCATTGTGTTATCTCAACTTTTCAAAAATCTCTTAAATTCACAAGGAGAATCCACATCTGGGTTTTTAAACTAAATCTGGAGTTCTGTTTATTACCTTCAGCCTGCTTTTAGAATTTAGGGAAAAAAGGTGTTTAGATTTTCTCCAAGAAAGAATTTATTATTTTTATGAACAGTTGTTGAGCAGGAACGTTTGGGTGTTCTGAAATAATAATGATTTTTGTGCCTCTAAAATTCAAATGTAACTTTTTAAGCTGATGTTTTGCAGACAGAAAAAAAAGCTGACTGGCATCTGTTGAGAAATGTTTTTTAAATTCTCTTGCCTAACAACACAGCAATCATATACGAGTGACAACTGAGAGATTATTTCAATGTCAATTTAATCATAAGTGGAAAAGAGGCAACAGTCTCTTTTTATGCTACCTAGCTACTCATATTAGTCTTAGAAAAATAGTAGGTAGAACTGCACTGGCTCTGAGTCAAGCAGCTTCAAATTACATCCTGTCACAGGCTTAAACTCTCTTCAGAAGATGATGCTTCTGGTCAGTTTATGGATGGATCTGTGATCAGAGACTCTCAGAATGCAACTGTTGGCATAGTTCAGAAGAGAGCAAAGATGACTTGAAATTGCCAGAAGCAACAGAAGGGAGACATGTGTCCCTCCTGTCTGCTCCTAAACTGTGCAGATCTGATGCAAATCTTTAGTTCTGGTAAGTGAAACTTGCCAAGTTAGGCAAGAGAGAGAAATCATAGAATGTGAGAAAATTTTAATAGCTCATCCCTCATCCTAAATGTAGACCTGAGGAAGGCAATCCCTCTTCAAATGAGGGAATTATGTTGTCTCTGAGATCTGTGAAATTCAGAGATAAGATTCTTCATCCCCTCTCTCTTTTAAAAGCCTTGGAGTTCTCCGTTGCCGCCCTCTAAAGGGTGTTATTGTGAGGACCAAAAAACAGATGTACGTTGTTCACCTTTTGACAGTCCTATCATAGTGAAAAGTCATAACAACATGAGGGTCTCCAAGAAGGATATGGGAAAAATTTGGTGGACTCAATTCCTCTTCTGGTGAAGAGGTGTTTGTATAATAGGGAGGGAAAAAAAAAGATAAAAACACAGCTGGTATTAATTGGCAGCAGTAGTAACCCTCACTGCAAACATCATTAAAGAGGCTAATTTTGTACATTATAGAATTAGTCACTACCTTGCCCTTAGAAACAACGTCCAGGTATGGGGGAGACACCCTGGCTGAGCTGTTTCCACTACAGCTGCCCTAAGCAGTTCTGTGGGCGGTTACCTCACTTTAGCCACAGAAATGACTTGTGTGGCACCTTTCCAACCATAAGTAACATAACACTGAGAAAAGGACAGTTGTTTGCTTTTATTGGTAAACCTATGAAAGACTGAAAGTGTCAGCAAGATTTTAGGGTCACTGAATTTCCTGAGGTAATGCTCATCTGCTCTAAGTACTGATGGATACTGATTTGAATAGTCAGTTCTATCCAAAATCTCCCTTCTGTTGAATTCTAGATAAGCTCATTCAATTTTTATTTCTAAAAGTTTTTGAAATGTGTTTTTAAGGATGTCAAGTCTTTGTACTGGTAACTACAGTGCTATATGTCAAAACCCATCTCCATATTGCAATGATGTCACAATTTCTCTTGGCAATAAACATTTTTGCATATTATATGTTACATAGAATTTCTTCGTTTCAGTAAGATACCTCACTTAATAAACAAAAGACAGAATTTCACTTCAAACTTTTGGATGGCTAGGAAACCAGTGGCAAGTTTCTACGAGCATTCTCACTGACAGGTGGTACTGCTAGAGTACAGCACTCTATGCACTGCTGTGCAATTTCTAAGGTCAGACTTTCAGGTAAGCTGCTCAGGTTTTGGAAATCTAAGGAAATGTAAATGACATGAAGTCAGATGACAACCAGATACATTAAGTCAAATCCTCTGGCAAGTGTCAATAGATGCAACTTAACTGGGTTGCTCAAAAGCAACAGTAGCTCACTCCTTTTCTCCAGACATCGCAGGCATTTTAGTCATTATGCAGCAGCCAGAACAAGGAAAGGAGTGGCTCTTCTAAGGGACAAGGCCACCTCAGGAGCAAGCTCTGAACAGGCAGGAATACATTCGTGCCTGTTGTCAGTGTGTTCACATTAAATTGCTATTGACTGACATACAGAGATAGTACATGGGCTAAGACACACATGAAATGAACCAGCCTGTGTGTTTGTGTGCAATGGACTTTTTCAAGAAGGTTAGAAATTGTTCACAGCAATTTTTACAGTTGTTATTGCCAATCCATAGACTACTACAGCTGCTTCTAAGGAAACTTACCCTATCGTTGGCAGTGCTCCTTTCCATTTTAAAAGCAGCCTTCCCTACCCTGGCAGGTGCTTGGCTATACAGAAAATCTCATGAGTACTTAGGATCCCAACACTTGTTACGCAACATACAATCAATCAGAGGAAAAAAACTATGTGCTTCTATACATGTTCTTGAAGACGAAGGTACTATGAAATAAAAATTTGGTCATCTGCCTTGTCCATCTGCACATTAAACTCTAAGTGGAAAATCGTTAATGTCCACATCATAAAGACATGATCAAAGATATGGCCGAAGTGCCGTCTCTTTGATCGCATTGGTTCTGTGTTGCTGTTGCACGTATTTTCCCGTATCTAGTGGGGATATCTACATGTCCTGCCTTACACAGAGGTCATGCAGAGCATCCCCCATTTGAAGTAAGTCCACAGAGGTTATGTAAGGCTTCCTAACTGGAAGAACGTGTAAAAGCAGCTTCTGACATAGCTGCATCTGGGCAGGAACCAAGAGCTTCTCACTCTGTAGCTGCTTTCTTGTTGTTCATACAATTAATGCTTTGGCTCGGCTACAAACAGAAATATAGGTGCACTTTCCATTAAGTTAATGGAAACTAGGAAAATACTTTCCAAGGAATTAATTTAGCTGAATGTGATATATCACATTCCAATTAACTCTATGGTAAAAGATGGTAATTTCATAATGACGGGGCTGCAGTTTCACTGTGGGGCCCCTTGAGCAGAGTAGAAGCTGAACACTTTTTGTTGAATATTCTATTGGTTTTAAACGAAGAGATGTGGGAAATACAAGAAGCGTTTACTTTAATTGGTGTTGTCTGAGGCTTATTTATGAGAGAACTCTTAGTGGAGCAATGCTCATTCTGTTCCCTAGGAGAGCAGAAGATGGAGAGTGGTGATACTGAAGTCAGCAGTTACATGGCTGTAACCCCGAGCCGAGGTCACAAAGAGGAAAAACAAAGGGGTTGTTCTGGCTTGGAAGACTCGGAGCTGAGCCTAAAACCCGGGCTCTTGTTTCTGCAACTGTTTCACAACGTGTAGCTGGTTTACACGTGTTGTGTCTTTAAGAAATGTAAACATATGCTACGCTCGCCCAGCGAGGTACGGGATGAAGCATTTCAGGAGCTCCGGGCTCAGCCCGATGGTCTGCTTAGAGATGCTGAGTGGCAAAAGGGGACGGGGTGAGGCTGCTCCCACGTGCTAGATTTTACCAGGTCAGATCCGTCACGCTGGGTCTGCTCCAGCAGAAGGACCTGTGTGAATACCCGAAGTGTTTTCCCCAAAGGAAAGGAGAAAGGACCTGCGTTTTTTCAAGCTTCGATTTCCTAAATAGACAGTACGGTCTAACGCGATTTCCCGAGCGTGCGAATCTCTCTCTGTGGGTAAGGAGCCCCGCGGCTTCTACGAGGGAGGGCGCGGCAGCTCCGAGACGCTGCGCGGAGAGCGGAGCCGCGCTGTACCCGTACCGGCGGATCCCCCGGCAGCGGAACGCGGAGCCACCCAGGCCGTCGGGGCAGCGCCCTCTCCCCAGCCCCCGGCTCCCGTTCCGGCCCTGGGGCTTTCCCCGCCGCGGCTGCAGCTACAGAGAACGAGGACGAGCGGCAGGACAGACGGGACGGGACACACGGGACAGCGGGAAAATAAAGGATCCTCCTACCCTGAGGGCTCCCTGACTGACTCTGCTGTGTACCTGCTCTGCTCCTCCACGCTGCTGTTCTCCGGCGCCCGCCACTCGGGTAGGGTGCTGGCGCACAGCACCACCATGGACACGATGACGAAGAGGATGGAGACGGTGGCCAGCACCTGGGCTGCCAGCGAAGACGTGGGCTCCTCGAAAGTCCGCCGCATCCTCTCCAGCCACTTCCCTCCCTCGGCCGCCGCCGCCCGCCGGGCTTTGCCCCTCGGACCGGCGCTGTGCTCTCCCGGCGGCTCCTCGGCCGAGTAATAGGTGCACGTCTCGGACATGCGGTCGTCGAGGCGGCGCTGGCAGCAGTAGTCGAGGTGGGAGCCCTCCAGCCCCCAGTAGATAAGCTCGTTGTAGAAGGAGAGCTCGCACATGTGCGGCACAAAGCGGAGATGCCCGTGCCGGACGTAGAGCATGATGAAGCCGAAGGCCTCCGAGTGACGGTCGAAGAAGTACTCGTTCCGCTCCCGGTCGTAGTCGTCGCACACCTCCAGCACGTCCTGCTCCGACAGGCAGCCGTGCAGGCGGCTCACCCGCCGCAGCGGGAAATCCTTCAGCACCTCCCGGGAGAACGAGTACCGGGTGCCCCCGACGTTCAATACCACGGCGGGGCCGCGGCCAAAGTTCATGGCTTGGGCGGGACGGAGGAGGGGGGCGGGCAGGGCAGGGCGGCGAGCAGCGGCGGGGGACAGCAGCTGCCCCGGCTCCGCTCGCAGCGCTCGGCGACGGGCCGGGGGGAGGAGGAGAAAGAGGAGGAGGAAAAGGAAGGAAGGCAGAGGGCTCGGGCTCCGCTCGCGGGTGCGGCCGCGGGGCCGGGAGCTCCGCTCCGCACCGCTCCGCTGGCGGTGCCGGGCGGGCGGGAGGCGGGGTGGGAAGGGAGGGGACGCGCCTCCCCCGCGCCGCGCGGAGCCCCAGCCCTCGCCTCGGCCCCGCGAGCGTCCGCCCAAGCGCGGGAGAAGTTTAGGGTGTTTTACCCCGAAAAAGCTCAGAGTTGGGATTCGAGCGCTGCTCGCACACCGTGGACGGCGGCTGCCCGGCTCCGTCGCTGGGCTCCTTCAACCCTCCTCTCCTGCACAGCTGGAGAAGGCGGCTGCGGCGCTCCTCTTTCTCTCTTCTCTCTCCTTTGCTGGGTGGACGCCGCGAGTAGTTTGAAGTCAATCAGCGCCTTCAGCCCTCGTGCCTGCGTTCCTATTCCAGCACGGCAACATCACCCCGCCAGCAGCTGGCAGCTCCCCAGCGCTCCGAGCTCACGGGTTCGCATCACGCGCGGGGAGTCCCTTCCCACCACCCCTCTCTCTGTCCGTTCGTTTCCCCCGTCGTCCTACCGCAGCTCTCCCGGCCGCGCCTCTCCCAGCCCGGCGCAACCCGTGGTGAGGCTGCGGGAGCACCCCCGGGTCCGAATGGCGTTCACCGTCCCCGTTCTGTGTCGCTCGGTACATGTGTTTGTCTTTACGGTTGTTGTTGCCTCCGCCACGTTACTTTCGCAGCCGAGGTTTGCACACGTGTGAGGAGAAATGGACGGTCGAGCCGTTCTGTAGCGGCGGCTGTGATTGAAAGGAGGAGGCGATGAAGTCGTCTGTGTCCCACCGCCCCGCCTGACCCCGCTTGGCCGCTAGAGGTCCCCGCGCGTCACTGTTCTGCCCGAGAGCGCCGGGAGGAGCGGGGAACCACCCCACGCCGGCTGGGAAGGTGGGAAGGTGAGCCCTTCAGCTCCTCATCAACGTCTTTCTGCTTTCTTTTGAGCATTCTTTTGGGCTTTTGTTTTTCATACGGCTGGAAAAGTGTTTGCTTCCAACAACTGCCGCTGATTCGTGTGCTTTTTCTGCTCTTTAATTTTATAAGCAGCAAAAGCTCTTCTAAATCTCTGCGCTTATTTATTTATTTATTTGCTTAGACGTGTATGCTTCTACCCTTCTTTCTTTCTGACACAATTATTAGAATATTTGGTTAAAGAAAAGAAAAGAGAGAGAATAGCAGAATCTGTCCGGAGCTGTGTCAGCAATAAGAGATTATCCGAGTGCCTCCAGTATCACGCTGTGCTGTGCCTCCTGCTCTGTACACCTCACCACCTGCTAGTTTGCTGTGAGTTTGCAGAGGAGGAGAGCAGAGCAGGCAGGGCCCTGTGAGACAGCGCAGCAGTGTGCCTTCGGGAGATCAATCTGAGGCAGAGGAGCTCCGTGCACTGTGAAGCCCCGTGGCAGAGCAGGTAACATGCTGAGAGTGCTGCAGTCATGTTGTAGCTTGAAAGTGACCCAGCGGGTGAAGCATTACAGGTTCCTATGTGAGTTTTTCAATTTTTCTGAATACGGTGATTTTCTCCTTTAGATCAACGCTGGTAACCAAAACTAACTTGATGACAGCAATGTTGGTTGCCTTTTTCTTCCCTCTCTGTGGTCAGGCATGTTGCACTTCAGTTACTTTAGTTACAGTATTACCACATTTCAATAGTGATTTGCTGTATCTAGCTGGTGTCAGTATCTGTAAGCCATGCGCTCCCTCACCAGGAACAGCAATTTGCTGGGAACAAACACTCAGATTTCAGTCAGGAGTTGAGATTTCCCAGAAAGTGTTCTGATCTGTGGCCCTCTGCGGCTGGTCACGCTGCTGTAGAAATGGAATCGCAGCTTTATTGGTCAACTCACGGAAGTTTGGATGT